GTAGCACGGGCTATGGTGAGCCCCTAGTGGACGTTTTGGCGGCTGCTATTGGCCACTTTGACACACGTCTTTAAAGCTTAATTTTCTTTTCCGAGAACGTGGTGCAGGTCTTAGCGCTGCTGCAAAGAGCCTGCGGTTCACGAGAATTGTTTCTTGCAACAATTCCGTTTTGCTGATTTTTTGACGCGAAAAAAGAAAGAAAATAATTATCAAGGGGAAAGCGTCAAGCCATTACCACTATATAGCACTGGGGAAGGGGTCAGGATAAGGATTTGGGATGGGACGGAGGGAAAGGAATGGTGCCCAACCACTTGTGGACGGTCGGGGATTGAACGCCGACCTGCATGAAGTGAGACCGTCGCTCTACCGTCCAGCCCAAGTGGTTGGACCTTTTTTTTGACGCGAATCTGTGTCCTCTTTGTAAATATTTCTGGCCGCCTGGTGGCAAGGAAATTCGTGAAATTTTGATTTGAATATTTATTGTGGGGCAAAACTGGCCGACCCCTCACAGTGTTCAAGAGAGAACTGGATAAGCATCTCCAAAGGATACCTGATCAACCAGGCTGTGACTCATACGTCAGGCTGCGAGCAGCCGCATCCAACAGCCTGGTTGATCAGTCCGGCAACCATGAGGCCTGGTCGACGACCGGGCCGCGGGGACGCTAAGCCCCGGAAGCACCTCAAGGTAACTCAAGGTAAGGTGGTCGATGATTTCGTGCTTCGTCTTTCGTCATTTGACTTCTTGCGTTCGTCCATAAAACTGTCAGTGGAGGTCTTGATGTTCTTAGACAACCCGTTCTCGCAAATTTAATAAGTCAATATTGACTTATTAAATATGTGCATAGGTGACATACTTAACATAATAGTTTCCCTTGAAAAGCTTCATAGAAAACACCGACCTTACCTAACCTACTTAGTATGTTAAGATAAGCATCTTATTGCTTCGTAATTACAATTATTACCTAACCTATACCTATAATAGGTTAAGTAACAATTGTAATTACGAAGCTATAAGATGCTTATTTTAACATACTAAGTAGGTTAGGTAAGGTCGGTGTTTTCTATGAAGCTTTTCAAGGGAAACTATTATGTTTAGTATGTCACCTATGCACGCAACTAATAAGTCAATATTGACTTATTAAATTTGCGAGAACGGGTTGTCTTAGAAGAGGCTGTTTTGGATAAGTCTAAAGCTTATACTTGGCCCAAAACTCTACCTCACTGCAGTGATAGACTAATGCGGTTCTGAAGGCTCTGCCACGCAGGTCGGCCGAGCGGGGAGCCGGTCGGCCGAGCGGACAGCACGCTGGATTTGTGATCCTGGGTTCGATCCCCGGCGCCGGCGAGAAACAATGGGCAGAGTTTCTTTCACCCTATGCCCCTGTTACCTAGCAGTGAAATAGGTACCTGGGTGTTAGTCAGCTGTCACGGGCCGCTTCCTGGGGGTGGAGGCCTGGTCGAGGACCGGGCCGCGGGGACACTAAAAAGCCCCGAAATCATCTCAAGATAACCTCAAGATAACGCACCAGTAAGTGATCCAGCATGGAACTGCCGGTTGAGTTGCTCTGGAACAAGGCACATCCCTGGAAACACAAACCGTAACTGTCTCTATTTTCCGCTTGTTACAACTTGTAATAAAGTTGTTACATCTTGGCTTAACGTGTTTATGACGTATTAGAACGTTGTTACAACTTGCTATATTGGTTGGTATAACTGGTTAGGTGTTGAAACTTGTTCGAACGTTGTACCAACGTCGTAGCTTCGGTGTGTGTTTGGCGGGCTGACCCAAGGATTCAATCGGTTTCATCTTCTCTCGCAGCTGCGTTGTTGTTGTTGTTGTTATAGGTTCAGCTACTCGGAACAAGTTCCAAGTAGCACGGGCTATGGTGAGCCCGTTCCTTACCTGGCACAGGAGCGGGGGCAAGTAGCACGGGCTATGGCGAGCCCGTAGTGGACTTACCTGGCACAGGAGCGGGGGCAAGTATCACGGGCTATGGCGAGCCCGTAGTGGTCTTACCTGGCACAGGGAGCGGTGACGCAGCTGCGTTGTGAGAGTCTGTTCTTGTCGACGTCGTAGGGAACCAGTGAGGTGAGGTGAGGTGAGATAAGGTGAGGCCCCTGTCAGACCTCACCTCACTGTTGTGGTCTGAAAGGCTGAGTTACGTAAGCAGTCCGAAAGCAATTCTCTTTGCGAAGATCTCTTGAAAATTGGTAACACTTTTCAGGTCCAAAGATTACAAATTTCATCAGATATTTAATATATATGAATATTTCTGCAATAACGGTCCGTCTACTTGGACTGGCTGGTACAGCGAAAGCCTTGTATCTTGCATGGTCGGCGTTCGATCCTCCAAGTGGTTGGGCACAGTTTCCTTCCAATTGCTATATAGTCACAGTTATCACTTGACAGTTATCTTAGAATAGGGGATTGTTTATTGTTGATTATAGTTTAAAGTTAAGTAGCCATTAAATTTGATAAATGAGAAATGCTAATGTGGTGACCTCTGAGGTCACCTATGTCACAGACATAGACTCAAGAACCAATGTTTCTGTGGCATAAGGGATCAGGGATGACAGCATCAATGGACTGGACTTTTGAAGAGACTGAGATCCACAACGATACCTCAATGGCCAACACTCTTAACAAATTCTTAGGAGTCCTGTTGTCTTGGAGTGTGCCAGCATTAATTTTTTTCTCTCTCTCTCTCTCTCTCTCTCTCTCTCTCTCTCTCTCTCTCTCTCTCTCTCTCTCTCTCTCTCTCTCTCTCTCTCTCTCTCTCTCTCTCTCAAGACAATTTATGATGACCAAAGAGCTGAAGCCCAACCCCCCACAAGCACAACTAGGTGTGTACACTATAAGTCACCCTCTCTCCTCACCATTTCTTTATTCCCCTCTTCCTTCTCCCCAATTCATTCTTCCCTCTCTTATCTCCCCCCTTTTCCATCTGCCCCACTTTCATCTCACTACTGCCTCACTATTCCTCCTACATCTCTTCCCTTATCCTCTCCCCTTCACCCCTATAACATCACACTACTTTTCCCTACTCCCCCTCTCCCTACTCCCCTCTCCAGGACCGCCAGATACACCGGCGCAGCCTCAATTTCCCCTCAGGCTTCCCCTCTATATATTTTTTCCCCTTGAACAATTTTTCTTGAATTAAAGCTTAGCTTCTCCCGCACCAATGTCTATCTCTCCCAGGTTTTTATTGATTTGGATTGTGTGTGTGTGTATATATATATATATATATATATATATATATATATATATATATATATATATATATATATATATATAATGTATATATATACTCTCTTTCCCCTCTATCTCCTCTACCACATGACCGGTCTTACACACACACTCTCTCTTCTACGTAACTTCTTCAACTATTTTCTTAGGTTTCTCTTCTGCTTAATACAATTCTCTCTCTATAGCTTATAAACTGCTTCCTCCCCAAGATTTCCTACTTGGATACTCCTCTCCTCCCCACAGATACTCCTCTTCTACCTACAGATACTTTGTCCTAATAGATACACCTTTCCTCTCCAACAGAATAGTTACCCCCTCTGCACATGTTCTCTACACGCTAACATCCACTATTCACTCTGTAACATTACTTAAAAAAATAGGAATTAACGCAAAATAATTTCACTTCAAAAGTGAGGTCAGCGTCTGGGTTAATCTAGCTGAGACGCATGTTCGATTCCATCGCAGTACTCCACAGGTTTTTCTCCCTTAGATATATCTATAGTGATTTCATTGTGCATTTTACGTCCCTTCTAGAGTGTGACCATTAACTGGTGATAAGCACACTTAATTGTGGATAAATTGGAGGTACTAGTTAATGTACCTTCAATTGAACCTATGTTTGAACAGCCAGTGTTCACAATATTGTTCTATAGATGTGCCCAGGGCACTGTTATCTCCTGTCATATCTCGCTTCCTAGTACACTTATCTCCCCCCCCCCTCATCTCTCCCTCTCCCATGATTATCTCCCAACTAGAATTAATGCCAGCTTCGAGTGCCGGAGGACAAGAGCTAAGTACCACTTCCACACTCACCCCGTCACACCAACATCATACAAGAATCGTCACAGAACATTTCTAAATCACATCCAAGTTCTTATCATTCAGAGCCAAATTATCATTGCTACGAAACTGAATACAATATACAAATACAATATCAATCATACTAATAATTCTTCATTTCGAAGAAATGATCATAGTGTATAATTTTGTACAAGATAATCACTGCTTAGTGACCCTTTTTATTCATTTATTTCCCAGTATAATACTGAATTTTGTAGATCGACAAATACAAATTTATTTTATTAAATAAAGCATTTCACAATAGTGGCAAAACATTGCCCCACAAACCGAGCAAAAAAAAAAAACAAGGGATGTAACAGTTCTAAAATTTCGTCCCAAGGTAATTAATTTGTGTTTTTAGTTCAAAATTATGTTAAATTTCCTCTGTTTTAGTTTTTTTCTGGGAGAGAGCGGAAATTAATGCTCTTTGGCATCAGTGGATTTTTTTTCAGCGGTTCTTAAAGTGGATTAAAGAGGTTATAAAGTAAGCGAGAATTAATGTTAACGTTGAGATACAAGATGCTGGCGGCCGGTTGATAGTGGATGATATATATATATATATATATATATATATATATATATATATATATATATATATATATATATATATATATATATATATATATATATATATATATATATATATATATATATATATATATATATATATATATATATATATATATAACCGAACATGGAGATCGTTGGAGGACATATTCTTGGTAAAGAGTCGCCTCTACTGCCGCTGGGAGAAAAGCGCAGCCTCTCTCGACGTAGAAAAGACAAAAATACCCAAAAAATAAATTAAAAAGAGTAGAGAGAGTTGAGGAACATGAAGATGAACGCGGCGTCTGGCGACATCTGGCAATAATAAATAAATATTCGGTGAGCTCCAAGCTGGGGAGTCAGTGAGTGCTGAGCTGTGGTGAGGGACGGACTGCTTGGCTTCCCGCTCCCCGGGGTCCGCTCCCTTCGCTGTCTGTGCTCTTGATCAGTCTTTTAGACTCGAATAGACTTCGTAGAACAGCGAGTTCTATATACATACATAAACAGAAACCTGTGTAGAACAGTGCTATTCACGAACCAAGTGAAGTTAACTAGAGTTAATATCCAGGTTAAAATGGAGTTGGTTAACAAGTGAAACTGAATACAGGAGATGGACGGGCGCTCACATACGGATTACAACAAATGGACAGTGATCAAGCTGTAACTCAGCCAAGCTTGGATTACACCACCAGGTGCACGGAGACCGCTTGTGCGCCGGGATATATATAAATATATAAAAGTTGTGACATGTAAATCTCTACACAAAAAAATTACTTATAGATCTGTGAACTGCAAAGAAGAAAAAAAAAATATATATATATATATATTGCTTCATTTCATAGTCATATTGTCTGGAATTATCGTGGAATTTTGCTTTATTTGCTTGATATGAAAGAAAAAATGGTGTTTGGAATATGTTTGCATTTAATGACATACAAGAGTGTCCTAACAGTCGGTGTAGATTTCAACAGTGTTTCCTGAAAACAGGACGGGAAAAAATAGGTTAGATATGAGAAAATGCCCAGAGCGATCATTTCATTCTGAAACCTCAAACGAAGTAACGACAGTTTCAGGGGAAAAAATATAAGTTTTAAAATATGAGACGAGCCTTGGGCGATCGTTGAAATGTGAAACGAGGCTTCGCTAATCTTCCTGGAGGTAGCGAATCATCTGGTGATGTTCAGATTGGGATTAGTGTGTGTTGAGGGAGAGTCCTTGTGTAGGGGGGACTGCCCCAAGCTACGGTAGCACCGCTGGGGGTATCAATAATCGACAGTAGCAGTAGCAGCCAGTAGCAGTCCCCACGCTACGTAGCCTACTCCGTGATGCTGATAGTGGCTCTCCCGCGATGCTGACAGCATCATCATCATCATTAAAGAACTGACAGATATTTGCAGTGAGGGGGAGCGTGCCTTAGAGAGGGGGTGCGAGGTGTGTGTGTGTGGGAGCGAGTCAGGTGTCTGGCTCACCTCTGACTGCCACCGCCGCCCAGACCTGACTGCTGCTGACTCTCTCTCACATCGATCACAGGCTGCCAGCACACGCGCCGCGCGCCCCTCACCCCCTACCACGTGTTCACACCTGCGCGCTCTCACGTGTGCTTAGTGCATGCGGAAAGGCAGTAACGACGGGTGAGGCTGGCAGGCACTCGGGCCCTGAGGCCCTTCAGGACACCTGTCATGGACACTTGAGGAAGCAGCGTGCGCATCTGCCGCCCTGCACATTTGTCCCTATGCCGCCCATCACTGTCGCCGCCCACACACTGGAACGCACCGGGATGCTACTTATCCTCCTAGTGCTGGTGGGCGGCGTCGGCGGCCGCCCACCGGAGTGCGAGTGGAAGCTGGAAAACGCCGGTGTGACAGCTGGCGGCAGCGAGCAGGTCCGCACCAGCTGCCACGTCAGGACGCTGAGTAGAGTGCTGCTGACGGAGGGCAGCGGCAACACGTCGTTGTCAGCACTGGCTCACGCCACCCACGTGACGGTGCTGACGCTGCACTGCGCCAGACAAGTGGTCTTCGAGTCTGAGATCACTCCTGGGATGTTCACAGTCTTCCCCAGACTGGAGGACCTGCAGGTGCTGGGGTGCAAGGTGACGGAGCTCCCGTCGCATGTGATGGCTGGTCTGCCGCACCTGCGGCGATTCATGCTCAGGGCTCATCACCAGGACTGGCCAGGTGCGGCCCTCACTCTTCACCCTGAAGCCCTGGCTGACCTCAGCCGCTTGGAGGCCCTTGACCTGGCCCACAATGCCCTCTGGTCCATGCCACCAGCTGTCTTGTGCCACCTGCCCTCACTAACCACTCTCAATTTGACGCACAACCGCCTCCACCATCTGCCTGACCTCGGTCTGGGCCCCCGTGAGGCGCAGGAAGGTAACACGTCTCCTGGGTGTTCGTTACCGCTGCAACACCTGGATCTCTCCCACAACCAGGTAGCTGAGGTGCCAGAGCGAGCCTTCACGAGTGCTAAGGCCTTACAGACGCTCTCACTACGGCACAACCGGTTAGCGCACCTGTCTGACTGGGCCTTCGGTGGTTTAAGCTCACTCAAACAGCTCGATCTGTCTCATAACCGCCTTGTTGCTGTTCCCCGGTCTGCATTAAGTGATCTTCTGCAACTGACAGAACTCTGCCTCGCTAACAACTCTCTGAGTGTTCTACCTCCCGCTGCATTCAGCAATCTAGGCCAGTTGCAGACGCTAGACCTGAGTTATAACCAACTAAGTCTGGGCTCTAGTAACGTAGAGCCCTTCACTGGGCTTATTCGCCTGGTGGTTCTGGATGTGTCGCACAATTTGCTGGTTCACCTCGGCCCTGATACCTTCAGGGACCTTTATTCTCTTCAGGTGTTACGACTGGCGCATAACCAATTGAGTCATCTCTCTGATGCAACCTTCGCCGGCCTGGCCAACCTGCACACCCTGGAACTATCCCACAACGAACTGTCGACACTGTCTAGCCGAGCTCTCCAGGGCTTGGCTGTCCTAACTCACCTCTCTGTGGACCACAATCAGCTGGAGAGTGTTCACACGGCCGCCTTGGACAACTGTTCATCTCTGCACCACCTGAGTTTCGCCCACAATGAGCTGCACGACCTCCCAGAGGCCGTGAAGCGAGCGCCACTTTTGCGAACTCTGGACCTGAGCTATAATCAAATCTCTTATCTCGAGGAGGGAATTTTACATGGCCTTATACACCTCCAAGAACTCCAACTTGATCACAATGTTATAACTAACGTGAGTAAAGCCTCATTGGCTGAAGTCTCATCGCTGACCTACCTTGACCTCTCCTACAACACCCTGACAGACATTGAGTACGAAGCACTGGACGCCACCCCTAAACTCGTGGGTCTTGACCTTCACCACAACAACCTGGGGGACATCAATGGCTTGGTGACTCAACTTCAGAACCTGACCTGGCTCAACGTATCCCACAACAGCATTACGTGGTTTGACTATGCTCTTATCCCTAAGAACCTCGAGTGGATTGATCTGAGTTACAACCAATTAAGCAAACTGGAAAACTACTACGAAGTCCAGAAGTCTCTTGAACTAAGGGTGCTATATGCATCCCACAACAACATATCTGAAATCAGTGCAGCAATTGTTCCAGATGGCATAGAGGAGCTTCATCTCCAACATAATGTGATTTCGTATGTGGCCACTAATACATTTTTTGACAAAATGAGTGTTTCGCTAATTGACCTCCGGTACAACATGGTGGTGATTCTGGAGGAGGCAGCACTAAGACTCTCGCAAAGACACGCACCTCCGCCACTCCTGCTTCTCTCCCACAATCCGCTTGAGTGCAACTGTGCCACAGACTGGCTGCTGAGGGCTGCTGGAGCAGTCCTAGGGGTACCTTTGAGTGGGGGCTCTATATTGCCTCACTTGGGAGATGTGGGGGCTGTTGAGTGCCGTTTACCGGGGTTGTGGCAGGAAGTGATAGTTCCCTTGATCATCGTCCAGCCACATCAGTTTCTCTGCACCTACCGCAGACACTGCTTCACGCTCTGCCATTGCTGTGACTTTGATGCATGTGACTGTGAACAAACTTGCCCCAGAAACTGCACGTGTTACAACGACCACACGTGGTCGCACAATGTGGTGGACTGCGGTGGTGGATGGACTCACATGCCCTCTGGAGTGCCCATGGACGTCACCGAGGCCTTCATGGACGGCAACTCTATGGGGGCTCTTACATCACATGCTCTTATTGGTAGGAAAAACCTCCGTGTTCTTCACCTTAACCACTCGGATATCACCGTCATTCAAAATCGTACATTTAACGGACTGAAGAACTTGCAAGTGTTACGGCTTGACCATAACAAGCTAGAGGCACTTCATGGTTATGAATTTGTAGACCTGCATGGCCTCCGGGAGTTGTATCTTCAGAATAACCACCTTAAGCACCTTAGCAACATATCGTTGTCTCCTCTTCGGGCGATTGAACTCCTGCGTTTAGATAACAACCTCTTGACAACTTTTCCCGTGTGGAACCTAGCACTTAATCCATTTCTCTTGGAAGTTAGTCTCTACCACAACCCCTGGAGTTGTGAGTGTAGTTACTTGGCAAACCTGAGAGCGTGGTTGGAGGCAAACCGCATCAAAGCGACCAATGCCAGTCTCATACGCTGCCACCATAACAGCACCGGAGCCATTGGTCCTGCAGTACTCTCTGATGCGCCTGTGAGGTGTGACCACTATGTCGCCACAACTAGGATTAATAACCTCATAATTCATGACTACGTAATGCTGCTGCTGATCACAGCTGTGCTGTTGTTGCTGCTGCTTGCTGCTGCCATCATTGTCGTGGCATACCGTAGGCGTCTCAAGCTCTGGGCAGTCAGTCGCTACGGCAAGCGCCTCTTTGAGAAATCCTCTGCTTATGTCGAGGACCGTGAGAAGCTTTTTGACGCATTCGTCACTCACAGCGCCAAGGACTCTACGTGGGTGTGTGGTCTTATGGCTCCCGAGCTGGAGGCATTGGGGTATCGTCTCTGTGTGGTCCATCGTGACTGTACGGCTCTCTCAGCCCCTGTGGCTGGGAGAGCGATAGCAGAGAGCATCTCCTGCAGCCGCCGTGTTGTCATGGTGATATCCAGAGGACTGGTGGATGCAGAGTGGTGCCGTTACGACTTCAAGAGTGCCCACGTCGACGCCTTGCGAGGACTGCGGCACCGAAACATTCTCATAGTCATGCTGGAAGATGTGCCAAGGTCAGAGCTTGACCCTGAATTAGCCACCATCGTTCGAACAGCTGGCACAACTCTTCACCCGCGTGACCCGAGATTCTGGGAGAAGCTACGCAGAGCAATGCCGTCTTTACGCTCACGCCGCATGCGTCCGGGTCTTCCTGCGACACTGGGAGGGAGAGCAGCAAGCAAGCCGCTGGTAGCCTCCGAACAGCAGAATGGTCCATCTTGGCCTTTACCAGAAACCAAGACCTTGGGGCACACCCCAAGTAAGTCTCTCACTGTTAATCCGTACTGGGAAACCGCCGTTGGACACAACGTAACAGAAACAGCGTGGGAATCGAGAGGGGGCCCAGACCTTGTGGCACCCCCCTGGTTACACAGTCCTAAGAAGCCTCCGTCCCCGGCTCCTACTAACGCAGTGAAAAATGGGCGGCTATCGCCTCATGGTTCCCCTGGTGGGCCTGACCACACATACATGAGCGTTAGCGAATGTGGTGAGGTCAGAGCCACACTCCTGCCTGCCACCACTCTCTCTGCGTTGGCTGAACCCAAGTCCTTGGCCACTGCCTCTTCGGGTGGAAAAGGGACAGGCGTGGGCGGTTCTCGCCCCTCTGCACCTCCTCTGTTCCGGCGAGATGCCCCCGACTACCTCACCCGCAGCTGGATCTTTCACCCGCCTCCTGATGAACAGCCTCCTCCCCCAGGCCAGACTTACTTTGTCTAGAGATGGGACCTCCCTGCCCCTACACCTATGCCCTTTTCCAAGCTTCCCTTTCCTCTTGAGTGCTGCTAGCTCCGTCTTTATCCCGCCCAGTCAGTTTTAGCTGGATCTCGTCCATATATTCCAAGCAGCTAGTGTAGCCTTAACCACTCCAAACTACCTAGCACAAGCCTAGCTAACCCTGTCCCTGCTCTGCTTGTAGCCCCTTCTTCATAAGGTCTATTTTGCAGACTTATTGTTTTAAGGTCCGTATCGTCCCTCCCCCCACCCCCTACCCCTCCGCCCTGAGACAACCCTGGCACTCTTGTCCATCAGATCAGACCTCGTCCCCAAACCCTCAGTCCATCCAACCAATCCCCCATGCCACAAACACCCACAATCCTGGTCCTCAACGCCTCACGCGAGGGATTGGCCCGCACACATTCCGCCCACACCCACAGTCTACCACGCCCACGGCCGCCCCCGGTGCCGCCTCCCACAGTGACACCCCGAGCGACAGTGACGTATGCAACTGTGATTCAGAAAAAAAAGAGTCGCTCCGTCAGTGCTTGCTGAACTATGCTGCAGGTCGCTGTAAGCAGCGGTCGTGTTCTGACTTCTCGCAGCTATTGTGCAAGTGTCTAAAAAAAAAATGAATCTTTGTAAATAAAGGCAATAAAAAAGAAAAAAAAGAGATCGGAGGGATCTCCGATAAGCTTAGAGAAATTCTAAGCTTAGCTGGAAGCTGTCAGTGTTGGTGTAACTACAGTATCAAGCAGTGGTTGAGCAGTATTGGTGCTTCGAGGCTCCACGTATAACGCTCTCGGTGTTGTCACGTCAGACTCTGCTGCGCTTGAGCCGTATGGCAAGTGATTAACATTTAGAAGCGCAACAGGAACGCATTGTGCGTGCGCAGAAATCCAAAGGAATTAGTTTTTTCCATTTTTTTTTATTCAGATATGTGACTTTTTGCATAACTTGTCCAGAGTCCGCTTTCTGGATACATGCAGCGAATAGCTTAGCCTATCCATCCCAAGCTCCTTCCTGCAGCTGTATTAGGGATGGGGGATGGGTTGTGGTAGGATAATGTATCACTACTACTCCCCCCCCCCCCCCTGCTACAGCTGTAGTGAGGAAGGAAGCACCATGGACTGCTGCAGGAGGCTCGCTTGATGAACTTGCTATGTATATCTCATTGGATCTTCCACATTTTTTTACCCATTATATATATATATATATATATATATATATATATATATATATATATATATATATATATATATATATATATATATATATATATATATATATTATACACGTATGCAACAAAACGACAGGTATATGTGATTCAATTCGGCAAACGGAAGGAAAAGGAAGCAATATTATTTAAAGTTTGCTGCCCTGTAGATCTTATCACTGCTCTCAGTGGAAGCACCACTGATAAGAATAGATCCCGGTATCAACACGAGGCAGGAGAGACCTGCTCACTAGCCATCCCTCACTCGGCTTAACATTCAACAACACACTAACCATAATATATACACGATAAAATCTTAGGCGCAGGATATATACGGGTGTCAGATTAAGTACCCCAGAGTTAGAATTCGATTCCCCCCTCCGATCTGCTTCAAATACCACCTCACCTTCCATATATTTATTGTTTCATACTGTCCCAAATACTCATTGCAAACCAACTCATAACTTAAAAAAATATTCTAAATTGAAATGAGCGCTGTTATTGGCATTAGCAGAATTATGGAAACCCTGCCATTACACATATTTAAATCCTCAAAAACTAGTTATTTGCATTGTAAAGTCACTAAAGATCTATCGACTTGAGAATGGTCCAGGACGGACCAAAACGTCGTCGTCCCTTCACCTTCTAGTGTGTGGTCTGGTCAACTTACTTTAGCCACGTTATTGTGACTCATCGCCTTCACTAAAGATTAGTTATTTCTGTGCAGGCGATGAGTCACAATAACGTGGCTGAAGTAAGTTGACCAGACCACACACTAGAATCTAGTTATTTCTGTATTTCTGGCCCTCTGTGTTTGGTCTGAGGTGCTTAATACATCGACGATACTGTTACTGCAGTAACTAAAACTACCATTAAGGTGTTACTGCATAACTAACGCCAAACACCACCATTTTGGTTACACTACCATCATGGTATAACCAAATCAATGCATGTAATTCTCAAGATACTGTATGTATCCTAAACCAAATGGACGAAGGAAATAAATTATATATGAAATTACTGATAAATTTAAAAAAAATTAACAGAGGTGCTGACATTTCTATGGACTCTGGTGCTCTGTTTTAGTCTAAAACCCATGCAATGAATTTATTTATTTATCTTCAAAACTTTATATGATTAAAAAGGTCCCCCCCCCCCTCCCTATCAAAAAATACATCACACTATACAACCAAGAATATGTTATATACGAAATTCGTTATACTGTCCACTCGCTTCTTAAACTTTTCAACACTGTTCGTTTATTTTAATAATCATATTTATCTGAAGGTTCTTTATTCCCATTTGTCGTGGTTACACCTAAGAAAGCAGTTACAAGGAAGTAATCAAGAATATTAGACTAGCGTAAAGAACCAAATATAAAATATCTATGTTAATATGCAGTGGGGATAATTCACTCGTGTAAAACACATTGTGTTCATTAAAGACATTTAAGAAACCTTATTGACTGCAATACAATAAATACAAACAAATACAATATGAAATGTTTAGTGAAATATGAATACAAGAACAGTGTTGACTGCCTCTTTTTAAAATAAATCGAACTGGCTACAAGTGAAAGAAACTTTTAAAATACAACCACTTGGGTAGATAAGTAGGTACAACCACTTGAGTGGTAGATAACTACTTAATTAACCACCCTCTCGTATAACTCTTGTCTGAACCAGGATATATATATATATTTTCACTTTTGTCGACAACTTCTTAAAACACAAGTTAACGTGGAATTATTATATACGAATTATTATATATGTACTTAAACGCCCATGTTTCTTTCATAACGTTTAAAAGATAACAACTGCCAGAATTATTGCAACCTTTCTCTGCTGTTATATTCACCTAATTCAATCACTTGTGTATGTCATTTTGTTGCATATATATATATATATATATATATATATATATATATATATATATATATATATATATATATATATATATATATTTATTATATATATATATATATATATATATATATATTTTATATATATATATATATATATATATATATATATATATATATATATATATATATATATATATATATATATATATATATATATATATTTGCCAGGTAACAAAAGAAAGAGCTTTGGTTCTTTACCTGTAATCGGGTTTGAGTGACCTATCAGGATATTCTACAGATAACTCTCTGAAGGAGAGGAGATAAGAGTTAATAATTTACAGAATCCAATATGAGTGACTCGAAGAGTTCCTCTCATCCACTCTCACTCAGGAAGCTGGCTTCGCTGCATCAAAGTGAATCTCTTTTCGAATTCATCCACATATGATTTGCATTCATCTACAACATTTGTACTCATCTACACCCGACTTATATTCATGGCAAACATGACGATATGATTTTTTTTAACTCTGAATTGCCAATTTGTCCAGCATTTCACACTAGCAAAATTACTTCTCATGTAAAGCAAGCATCTGGTAGTCAGTTTTCCTGAGAGAGAGAGAGAGAGAGAGAGAGAGAGACTTGAGTCACGTTCTTGAATACCAAACTTTATTTTCTTGTACTTACAGGGTGTCCATCGACCATGAATGTCTGTATATATTGTTGATGTTGGGGGGAATGTTGGCAACACTGCCATGTGAGCCAACGCCTCGAATCTTTGTTTGTATAATTGTGTATGATGTATGAGTTGTCAGCCCCATGTGTATAATTTATACATAAAGACGGGAGTCTTGAGTTGCAGGGTGAGCCATACCACATAACACTGAACTGATTTGTATGGTTTTTCATGTAGTGTATGAAACAATGAGGTTAAAAACAGGTATTGTGTATATCATTGTATAGAATAACTTGAGTTAATATCATTTGTAGACAATGCAGTTACCCCTGAAATTTGTACTGTTTTGTTCAACAAATATGATGGTGTTTGAGCTTTGTTGATACTGTTGCATTTATTTGAATTTACTGAAGTTATTATTGGCCAGCTAATTTGTGTCCACCCGGAGCTTATGGCATTTAAATCTGGCGTATTGTAATTTTGTCATTCTGAGGTAAAGGTTACAGTCACAGAGGAAATCAATATCTTTGTCTCTGGTTATATATTTGCGTATACAGTGATTTCTATTTTACTAAAACTCTGATTATTATCGTTTTTAATTTATAATTACGCTTTCCACTTACACCTTAAATTATATATATATATATATATATATATATATATATATATATATATATATATATATATATATATATATATATATATATATATATATGTCGTACCTAGTAGCCAGAACGCACTTTTTGTCCTACTATGCAAGGCCCGATTTGCCTAATAAGCCAAGTTTTCCTGAATTAATATATTTTCTCTAATTTTTTCTAATGAAATGATAAAGCTACCCATTTTATTATGAATGAGGACAATTTTTTTTATTGGAGTTAAAATTATCGTAGATATATGACCGAACCTAACCAACCCTACCTAACCTAACCTAACCTATCTTTATAGGTTAGGTTAGGTAGCCGAAAAAGTTAGGTTAGGTTAGGTTAGGTAGGTTAGGTAGTCGAAAAACAATTAATTCATGAAAACTTGGCTTATTAGGCAAATTGGGCCATGCATAGTAGGCTGAGAAGTGAGTTCTGGCTACTAGGTACGACATATATATATATATATATATATATATATATATATATATATATATATATATATATATATATATATATATATATATAATAAATATATATATATATAAATTATGTTTTGCAATTTCTACCTAATTGGCAATTTAAGGTTTTGTATATATAATTGTTAAACCTTGTTCTTTGACTAAATCTCTGTTGCGTAATCTACAGCTAATTATCTAAACTTATGTATTAAAACTCTTAATCTGTTGTAAAAACTATAGTTTGCTTTAATAAAATATTTTTATTTACTGAAGATCAGTTTTGATAGAACATTTGTTTATTGTGACGTTCAGAATTTGCTTTAATGTGAATTTTTTTATGTACCTTACAGCTGCTTAAATAAGACTGTAATGCCAGATACATAACTTCCAAGCTATTGACACTTCCCAGTTCCCCAGTCACTGTTGGATCGTTTACCCAATCAGTCTCAAACTGCTAGCATGGTCCTTGTCATCCTTACAGTCAGTCCCCATCTCACTGCTGGAACTTGCCATCTGTTCTAAAATAAAGCAAACATTACACAGATTACAGAGGGCCTACTAATTTTAATTAAGGTTAATTCCATTAGCTTCATGTTTGTTTTACGTACAGGAATTCATGTATATTTTGCTGATGTTAAATACACGAACTAATGTTTTAATTTTTGGTCTTTGAAATGCAATTGTTCTCTCTCTCTCTCTCTCTCTCTCTCTCTCTCTCTCTCTCTCTCTCTCTCTCTCTCTCTCTCTCTCTCTCTCTCTCTCTCTCTCTCTCTCTCTCTCTCTCTCTCTGTTTTAGC